TTCTCAGGTCCCTTCCGGCCCTAGAAACTATGAAACTATAAGGATGAGGGTGCATGAATGAACTGAAATTTAATGAAGAAATGGTTCTAAAAATATTCTGCACTAGTTAAGCCAGTGTGCACACAGCATCCAGGTTAGTGTAGCACTTGTGTGGTCTGAGGTATGTATTAGTCATATCATGTGTGATGTTGAATTTCCTGTATTTTTGCTCAAGGTCCTGAATCCAGAACTTGCTTAGGCCAATCTCTGTTCAGAAAAACACTGAAACAGGAGCTCAACTTTAAACATGCTTAAGTCCCATTGTTTAAAAGCAAGCAGCTTGTTAGCAAAGCAGTGCCTTCTTGAATTGGACACAAAATTGGTGGGAGTGTAGCAGATTCAGCACATCTTGGGAGCTGAGCAGCAAGTTGAAGAATGGATCTCTATTGAAGAACTGATCAGGGTAAATTTTATGCTGGGCTGAGTAGGCAAGATGGGTAAAAATGGGTAAGAAGCTTTCTGAGTTGAGTGAGTGCACTAGTGCAGTATCTTCTATGATTCTCAGAGGGCTTGGAGTTCTGCTGGATTGATGTGCCAAACATACCTTCATAGGGGGTATGATCCTCTAGCCAGGTGTATAGCTTAATACATTCTCTTGTTGTAGGTACTGTATAGAAGCCTATGATACATAAAGAAGTCCCTCCCCTCAGCAGTCTCAGAAGGTTGCTGCAGTCAACAGTAAATGCTAACCTGGGATCATAAGTGGCAGCTGGCAGTAGTCTGGAGTACCCTGAGCTGTAGGTCCCTTTCTGTGCAAGATGCACCATTCTTTGCTTCCCATTATAAATATCCATGTAAACACTGTACTTCAGAAGGCAGCATAACAAGTTTCATGTGTGTTGGGATTAAATTATAATGAAATGACAAGCTATAGATTCATGTTGCCTCTGAACAGCACATAAACAGTTGTTATGTTATAAATCAGCTGATGCTGACCACGTTATTCAAGGGAGTTGCTTATTTTTTTAGGGAGACCAGTCAATCTGATTCTTAGAATATCTTCTAAATGGGAAACATGTCACCTCAGATAAAAGTGTATAAACCAAAGAAAGTTTTGAGAGCTATCTTAAGAAATAATTTAAAAAATATTCAATAAACATGGCCATATAATGTCTAAACTAGACAAACAGGTTGTAGACACCAAAGAAGAAAGGAAAGGAAGGCAGAAAGAAGGCAATAATAGACAGCACTTTTTTTCCCCCCCAAAAAAACTATTTGCGAAATTCAGCCTAAAACCCATAAATAGCTTTGGTCCAGCCAGAATTGCATTTTTTCAGTGAAGAAACTATACCTTCAACAATTTTACCCAAATCTAGTTATACTGTGTAAAGCAAACAAGAAGACTGCAGAACTATGTAAGATAAAACAACTCTCTTCCAAACTTTATATTACTCTTGGTTACATACTCCTGTGTGTGTTACTTTTCCTGATAAACCCTACTCTCCTGTATGCACAATTTATATTGAGTCTTGGAAATTCACCCACTTGGAATTTGTAACACCATATATGAATTCAAATTCAGCCCATAGTCCTAAAAATGATATTTTAACAATCTGAAACTAGCTATTTCATAGCTAATTAGTGGCCGCATCTAGACGAGATGCTGACTGCGCAGTAGCTTGTTACTACTGCGCAGTAGCATCATGAACTGAGGCATGATGCTACCAAGCAGTAGTAACGAGCTCCTGCACAGTCAGCATCATCAACAAGCCATGC